GAGAAGGAAGTGGTCATTCCAAGTTGACTCACCCTTTGGTGAGCCACTGGAGGGTAAAATTTAGAGGAGGAAGTGGCCATTCCATCTTGACGACCCTTGTAAGTGAGCAAACATGCGGGAAAGGGCCTGTGTGCGCACTTGAGTCTCCCCGATGGACTGTGTGCGCGCATGAGTCAAATCTGTGTGCGCAGATGAGGCGCAAGTGCTAACAAAATGTGTGTGCGCAGATGAGCCGCCGCCCTTCCAATAAAGCCCCGCGACAATTACATTCTTCACTAAGCCCCGCGACAATTACATTCTCCACTAGAGCCCCGCGACAATTACATTTTCCAATAAAGCCCCGCGACAATTACATTCGTTAGCATAAAAATAAAAACCCTCAGCATAAAAATAAAAACCCTCAGCATAAAAATAAAAACCCTCAGCATAAAAATAAAGACCGTTAGCATAAAAAAAAGAACCCACCCAAATCCAGCATAAAAAAAAGAACCGTTAGCATAAAGAAAAAAACTATTCCCAAATATATTGTACAACCATTGAAAAACAAGAGTGTTGGATTTGCACAAATGATCAGTGTTGCTCACTTTGGTGCGCCAACAAAAGCAATCCTTAGTTAATGGTGAGACGGCTGTTTTGCATCATGTTTGTTGGTTTATGCGCACCACCAACACAACACCCCCCCCTAAAACGGCCACCACTGCTGCAGAAAGACGAGTGAAGATCACCTGGAGAGGCCTATGGAGATCTTCATCTCTTGGAGATCGAGCAGATGAAGTGGACCGAGCTCCAATGTGAAGGTGCCCGAGTAGCGGTTAGAGCTGCGGCCGGGACGTGTTGTTTTTGTTTTGTTCGTCCTTTTTTCACAGTTTTCAAAGGACGATCAAGTTATTTGTACAATGGAAAAGTGAAGGATGTAACATGTTCTTGATGCATGATGTAGATACTTTTGAATAGTAGTAGAGGTGGTTTGAAATCCAATTTATTGGGAGCATCAGATCTCTCCCCCTGGTTTTGCCCAAGACCTCGATTCTGATGAACTTGGGCATGTGCTTCTTACAGTAACTTCCAATGGCCCAATGGCTTTCTGGTGAAATGTGTTCCTTCCCCCTTGGAACCCTGTCAAACCTCAACAGCTGGAATTTTGTATCCCCAAGAATTTTGTGATCTGGAAATCCTTACACCCTTAATAGGAAGAACACCAGTAACATGATCTGCTGTGAAGATGAGAGCGTGTTTGCATGTGTTTGCCCACTTTTCTTTGATGGGCTTCTCGTTTGTTTCGTTCGCTGGTGAGTGGGAATGAATTACAGCTGGTGCTTGGCAGTTGATTCTGATTCAATGGCACTGGCACCCCAACACGTTGTTGATTTGGTGTCCATACTTGGGGAATGTGCTGTCTACTCTGAAACCACTGTAATTGTGGACGTAAGATCAAGGTTGAAGACATGTTTACCTGGCCTTTTTTTGCGTGAGTTCTCCGTTTGGAGTGTTCCCTTTACGAAACCACAAGCACGTTTTTGTTGGGCAATGAATAGCAAAATGACACCTTGGAGATGACGCATGTTCCAAGAGGGATGACGCATGGTCTTCCAATTTTCTTGGGATGTGTAGAACATTGTAGAAACATATGGAACATCAGAGAAACCCGTCTCGGTTTGATTTAGGAACGGTGGCGATCCTTTCCTTCCGAAGCTCCATTTGGGCTCATGGTGATGACTAGGCTGCGATGGAAAGCCAAACGGTTTAGGACATCGAGCATCAAGGAACTGGACGAGACGAATCCTTGAACTTGACCCAAAGTGGCAGTTCTTCAATGCAAGCGGCATTTTTTTGAAAATCGAGCAGAGACTGGCAATCGCTGAGACTTGCAATCCTTTCATTGCTTCAATCGCTTTTCTCTTCACCCCGCTTCACCGTCGCCATGGCGCTGCGAAGGACGCTGGTCGCAGCTGGCGCGCGGGCGATGAGCCAGAAGGAGGCACTGAAGTGGTTGGACCCCCCTCCCAAATGGGTTTTGAGATGTGTTGAGTGTGTTTGTAGATTATATAGCCAAGGATATGATTTGGTCAGGTGGTGATGCAGAAAACGCAAGTGGCATGGATAGGGCATCATTTGCATCAGCAACCTACTCCAACGACACTATTTAGTTTATGTGTATTGAATGTTTGGGTGACATTCTACTCAGACTTATTTGTTCACGGTTTTAGCAAGTGAAAGTCAATTTCCTATACACATGCAGGTAGTACTTGTTCCTGGCACAGCTCTCGTTTCCCCCGTGTCAGGTCATTTTATACGTAATCATATGGGGTCTATGGTGGATGTGGGGGGTTGCTGGGCAAGGTAAGGTTGGATGACTCTACTCGTGATGATCTTAGATTTTCCGAAGGGTTATAGCGTGGATGGCCTCCAACACTGGCATAGATGCGAACCAGTGAAAAACCACCCCAACAGAGGGGCGGTCAATATGCCAGTCCCATGCATGGTCTGGGATTTAGATGGACGCTGGTCCCTCTTGTGCTCCACTTCCGGACACCGAAGGCGGCCGCGCATGGGCGGGGCTCGGGAGCCGGAGGAAGTGCACCAGGACCCCCAGTCGGGGTGGTTCATGGACACTCCTCAACAGCTAAGGGGCTATAAATATAGACACCCCGACAGGAGGGTCCTGGTATTTTCTATATAATTATTGGGATGTCAATAGAACATGTGTTTGATCTCAATAGAACACGTGTTTATGTTCTTTGAATCTTTGTATGGTGATTGGAATTTCGATTCTTACGATCATTTCATATCTCAGTTGTGCATGAGCTTATTACAGCGACGGTGGGCAGGTCCATCGTTGACCAAGCCAATGTTGACATAGGAGGTCAACTAGTATTCTAACATATTAATATGTAACAATGTGTGAGTGTGTGTTTTTAAAACTAATAAACATAAACACACATGTAGTCAACCTGCAAAAATGATGTAGATGATTTAGGCAGAGCATACCCCCCGAAGCATGCCCTGACGGAGTCCCAGAGAAAGCCATACCCTATTTAGTCAGGACCTCCCGGCCCTGGAATGTCCAAACGGATACACACCCAAATGGAACCATTGAGGTAGAGACTTATAGACATAGACAGCTTTTGCTGGAAGATCCATGAACCAGCCTTCTTGGTGGCTAAAAGCACAGACTGGTGACTGGTGCGGTCATTCATTCGTTGCCAAAGGGCCTTAGGACACCTGGGACGCGCTCCCAGGCATCCACCTGGGCGGGTCTGGGCGGGTCGGGGCTGTCGCTGTGGTCGGCAGGCTCAGCGCCAGTGTGCCAAGCTCTCGCAGAAGTGGAGGCACTTGGATGTTCGAAAGAGTATATGGGTGTGTCTCAGAATGGATTGACAGGGAACCCCAAAAAGAGTGTGGGGAACCCTAGGAAGAATAAATGATGTAGAACCATGTAGAATCTAGAAGCTAGTAGAATCCATATATCATATGTTGAGGGTCTCTCTCTCTCTCTCTCTTTTTCTCTCTCTCTCTCTCTCTTCCAAGGCACAACGAGATAGTGTGCCCTCTTGTTGCAGAGGGTCCTTTTGCTCGGGGCGCACCTATGACTTGCGACCTGCATGAGTTCCCCTACAAAGTACTTCGAGATTATAGCCTTGAAACGCGACCCGAGATTATATGTATGTCACGGATCGATTCTCTTGGAAAGCATTGTTCAATGACCCGGGAAAAAAAACATATGGGCTTGCCGGGGTTCTGGGAGGTCAATGATTGACAGTCGTGGTAAGACTGTGAGCCAAAGCCTTTGGAGTTATCATCAGACTCTGAGCAACTTGATTCGCTGAAGCCGATCGCTCCGGCAGGCTTTTGGCTGAAGCCGAGCCTCAAGGCACGGCTTCTTTGCATTCATTTTGGAACATGATCCCTCACCAACTATATAAGAAGTTTGTTGTACCTCCAAGCACTGACGGCTGGTTGATTCCAGCTTTGGACCACTGGGATCCGGTTCGGCAGCTGAAGCTTCTGGACCTGGGCCCTCGAACCGGTTCGGCAGGTTTTCAGCTGCAGCGAAGCTTTCAGTTCAAAGACTTCGGTGCAGCTTGGGGTGCCCCGACGAGGTAGTCAGCGTAGTAAGCAACGATGTCGAACGAAAGACCTGACAAACATGTTCCCTAAAACGTCCTTGGGGGAAAACCCGCGGGTTGAGACGCCGTGGGCCCGTGGGTTGGAAGAGGATTCGATCGCTCGGCTTAGGCGCTTGTTGCAACAATGCTTGAACCCTCCTGACCTTAGCGTTGGTTGTTTGCTCAAAGTTGTTTGTTCCTCCGCCTCGGAATCAAAGGGACTCTCCAACTTCATCATCCATTCGCTTCGCATCCCCAGTCCCATCAAAGCTGCATGACATGGATCTCCTACTGCGTGGTGTTAAGTTGTGCACGGAAGACTCCTGTGTCAAATACCCCCAGTTCACCACCATGGCTTTTCCCCCAACAAAAACACCTTGTTGAGCTTTTCCTTATCGGAAACATCGGAAAAAGTTGTTGCCGGTGTCCTTCTTGGCACTTGGGTTTATGATGACGTCCTTGGCATCGCTGTTTTCTCGGAACAAAAACCAGGCTTTATGTCGCGGGTGGCGCTGTGCGCGGAGAAGGTCGGTCGGGGTCAAAGGGTCACAGGAGAACAAGGGTCAAAGGGTCAGAGCAGCAGTTGGGGTCAGAGTACTAAAACACAGAAACATGACCCCAACTGCTGCTTGTGTCTTAGGCCACATGTCTGAAGAGCAGCTGACTACTAATTATGGAACATGGCCGGAGAATTTGAGTCATGACGAGTGAACTAAGGGCTGAAGAAGTCAAGTTAGGCTTTGACTGTGCAGGTAGAATTAACACTAACACGGTTTCACAGTATATGGAGGGCAAAATACCCTATAGGATCCTAATAGGCAACCTAGACTCCGCCATTCGTGGATAGAGATCTCTACAACCAATCGTGCTGACTGGCATTATCTATATACTCTGAACGCTTTGACAAGGTTTTGAAGAAAAGAGAACAAGTGAGGTCCAGGTCACCCCAAGACCCTGCCTGGTTGGAGCATTCCGGCGATGCGTGGACAGGCGGATCACCATCCGAACTGGAGCAACGTGCAGCGCGGCGCAATGTCAAGCATGCATCGTTTGGGGGCGGATCCACCGGTTGAGATCTAGAGGGTGTAAAGGACTAGGACCAGATGACCAAAGAACATCATATATATATATATATATATATTTGAGAGTGGTGGTTTTGACCATGGTTGAAGACTGTTTGGCGGGGCACCAAAACCCGAAAAGCAGCTTGAAGTTGGTAACGTACTGAAAAGCAACTCTCCCGAAGAAACACGGGCTGCGGAGCTTGTGACCCACATGCCACAAGAACATCCCCCATCGTAAGAAGCGGAAGCCTCGAATATAACTAACAGCAGTCATGGTAAGAAGTGCTTTATTTTGGGGAATTGCTCAAGACATTGTGACCCTGCAACTAAGTACAGAAAAGACTTCACCCAACAATAAGTGCCACGTGTTCAAAGAGTCATGGTGAGTCCCCCAAACAACCCCTCCCCAAACCCACCCCGAAAAACCGTCCAATCCCGACCTCCACGAGGCACGTTCTGCCCAAACATGCCCAAACCCAACCCGCCGGCCGAGCGCGGGTACTCCGGGCGGCGTTCCGAGGTACTCCACGGTCGACGTGACGCTGTGGACGCACGACGCCCCGGGGCTCACCGAGAAGGACGAGCTCCCGGAGCTCCCAGCCCTCGGGAGAGTGGTCGAGTGGACCGGAGTCGATTGGACAGGTTTTGTGGACCCTTGATGGGTCGGTATGAAGAACTGTCCTCACACACGGTCTCCAAACTGAAACTCGGATCCACATTATGGGGTTCACTCATGTGCACGTCAATCGTAAATTATACTATGAAGAAACTACGTCAATCGTGTGCACGTCTGCACCGTGCCCGTAAGAGAAGGCTGCCAGGTGTCCAAAGACCGAACAACGAGAAACTGACCTTGCCCATTGCTTTGAGGTGCCCATGGGGTGCAATGCTTTCTTAGGCGGCAGAGCGTCAACCTGATGATTGGTGTTTCGAAACAGCGGATCCAACGATTGCTAGTAGATGCTAGTAGACAGCAACTGTGGAAAGTTTTCCCCTTCGGAACATTCCATTGTGATACTGTAATGCCATTCAGCATCTTCAGCTTTAATTTCAAAGGACTAAATGACCCAAGACATTTCAAGATCACAAAAGAATTATATATATAACACACTCGATTCTGAACTTGGGTGATACAGGCGATAGTACTTGATCAACTGCGATCAGACAAAATCACACCCTTGAGTATATCTCTCAATGGTGATATACTTACTCATGGAGATACTCATCCGTCCGGCTGCGTTCTTTTTTCCAGTGACGGGCGACCGAGTGGAACCTGGCGAGATGGATTCAGTAGTCCAGCCGGATTCATGGATGTATCAGACTCGTTTGTGACGCGCGTCCGATGGAGTCCTGCAGGACTTTGCTTTGGCCGCTCAGATGGATGCCATTGCTGAGACCTCTGGCGGGAGGGAAGGGCCGCCAACCGTCGAAGCGAAGCTTGCTTCGATGTGTATCACAAAGCACCTATAAGCACCTATAAGAGTTGTGAATTGTTAAAGCTTTTTGCTTGACACCTCCAGAGCTGTTCAGTTGGAAGGAAGGCTCAGCATTGGAGGGGTGGGTTCCAATGTTGATCCAATGTTGATAGGTCTCCTGCTTCGTTATAGTGAAACATGGAGACACCGTTATAGTGAAAAACTCAGTATGGAACAGGAACAGCTACATATATGTTTACCATTCAAGTGATCCAGCTTCACTTGGCCTAGAATCACAGACTTTTTTTTTGTTTGCTTATCAGCTGTCCTCCCAGCACACCTCCCAAATCCACTCCAAGATCCACTTCCCCAAGAACCTCTTCTGACGGTTGGAAAATGCCTGCGAGATTTCTGTGGATTGGGTCCCTTGTCGCCGGCGCACTCGGTGAATGCAGGCCTCATCGAGTGAGTCCATAAGGCGCTTGACCCGTCGTTTGGCTGCGGCTGTTTGGCCTCGAAGGCCAAGAGTTCGACTATCACATACAGGTTGTTGATGACTTGATTTTGGTTTTCAAATTCTGTAGGGGACCATCAGTCAAGGGTTTTTTAATGATCTATTTGAGTGAAGAAAATGTGTTCAAGTTCAGCTCTGACAGTCAGACGTGCCTTCCGGGTTCAAGTCAGCAGATGTATGTAGGGTTGGCGAGCGAATAACGCAATCAATGAGTGCAGACACAAGCTTGCCAGCTGGCGACTTGAAGTCATGGTCGCGAAACTGGTCAACACTAATGAGATGTATGGAACAGTCGTGCAACAAGGGGGAGGCCAAGGCCGGAACTTTTTCTGGACATGAGAAGCCGTTCAGAACTACAGAGAGGTTCGTTCCACGCACCGGAACCCCCCGTTCAGATCATAGCTATGACTGCACGCGTTATTTGGGTTGTGTGTGTGTGTGTCAAAACGGTCCACGAGTTTCAATAGGTAGCGGTCAGGGCAGTCAGGGCTGTTATGGCTTTGGGTGAACTGTTATGTAGGTTTGGAGGGTCCAAGTACCTTGGATCCCTAGGGCATGGTCTTGGGGTTTTCCAGACCTATCCCAGACCCATGGGTGGGTGTGTTTATGACCTGGAAGGCAAGGACCCCCCTGGAAGAAGGACATTAAAACCATGCAGTCTACCCATTGGGCCAGGGTGTCTCCCTATAGAAAGACAGCATCCTTATACTCCAAAAAAACCTGGACCTAAAGCAGGTAACAGGGATGTCCCTGTTGCTCAGTTTGCTGCGGTCCCAAGATCGTCCAGACTGTGGACCCGAAGTGCAACACTCGGTTCCTCACGATGCCAGGTCTGGCGACCTCGCAGGAAGCGCGGGATGCAGCTCTGAACCGCTTAGCTGAGGACGCACTTGGAAGACACCAAAGGCAGCCTGGAAAAATAAAAGTTTTGGCGGTTTTGAATGGTTTTGAATGGGTTGTTTTGTTTTCTCAACACTTCAACACCAAGACCAACAATCAGCTCACTTCCAGGCTTAGCCCCTTTGGACAAGTGAGTAGTTGATTGCCAGAAGGTTTGGAACATGGGAGGTGTTGCCGTGGGCCCCAAGAAGATGCACAGGTAGGTTTGACAGAACATCAAAGTACATATGGCAGGAGCTCCAAGTGCATATTCTTCGATAGACTATTGACTATGTCAATCTATTTCAGCCATCATTGATCTGAGGTTCACATGAGCTCAGTTTGTTTTGCATGCCTTCCTCGTTGTCAAAAGCTTCTGGAAACCCACATGTATAGTGCAAGACCTCCCAGGGTGTGTACAAACAATGCCTCTTGGGCCAGTTGGGCCCAGGGCTGGGTGCGGAAGTTCGGAACGCGACCCGTGCCAAAGTGTGGAAGTTGGGAAGCGGCCCAGTTTGGGATGAATTTTGAAGCGTCTCAACGTGGAGTCCCAGACAGGTCTGCGGGAAAAAGGTTGGGAGTCGCTTTGTCGAATTGGTGTTCAGGATTCGAGTCGAGTAACACCACGCAGGCGAAACGGCTGAAGTGGCATGAATTGGGTCTCTCTTTATCTATAGTGGTTAGAATGCAATATCTCAGTACAGAATGGCTCTTCACCGTTCGTATTCTGGCAGCCAAATGCGAGGAAAATTGGCAACGCAAATGGGCTAGCATCCGCATTGACACGGAATTCTGTTTCAACACTGACGAAGCAAATGTACCGAGTGGATCACACGGATATACTTTTGGAGCGATCTTGGTTTGGCCTCGCTCCATGCAGAGGAGCTTCTGTATTATGTTAGCGGCCAGTGAGAAAATGTGAGAACTGCTTTGAAGATCATTCTGATCTCGGTGTGGGTTTGGTTCCCAATTCGTTGAATGTCTTGTTTGTGAGCAATTGAGCAGAAGGTCAGAAGGTCATTTAGGAGCTGACAAGTTGTTAGTTCTTCTTTTTTTCTGAGAACTGGTGTTCCTGGACCAGGGTGTTGTGCTACTCTTTCTCCATCAAAGGACTCTTGAACTTTCACGCTGTCGGGGCCCGTACCCGGCTCAGACGCCATTCCAATCGTTTCAGACCGTTAGTTTGACTCGCCGTTTGACCCTCCTGCAGACCGTTGGGACCAGCGGAGGTTCCGCACCCGACCTGGCAGGTTCCGCACCCACCGCACGTTGGGGTCACACCATGGAGGGCTACGACACGGTGCGGAAGGGCGAACCGGTTCCGGTCGACACGGCGTTACGGGAGAACTGCTCCCGTGGGCTGGTTGGGCTCAAAGGTTGGAGACCCCAGCAGAAATTCACTGTGGTGCCACTCATAACCCTGCCGGTCAATGACCTCATGTTACTGGAGTTGGTCATACAAGAACACTACTCGTTTGGAGGTGCAAAGACCAGGTTTTACTGGGTCAGACTGGACTTGTCGGGTAGGAATATTCCATGGATATTCACCTGTTTGTTCTCCTCCAGTGAGACTGCTTTGAATCAAGCGTCGACGGTCGTCGGACTGTTTTGGTGGACATGAACACCCACACGACTGCCACTTGGTGGAACGACTGCTTGGGCTTAACTCGTCCTGCTTGTCCCACCAAACCTTCGGACCTCCGGTGTTCGGCGGCATCGCCTCCGAACCTCGTTGGACGGTGCGATTCGTAGCGACGACGCCGAAGTCGTCCCGGTGCTGGTGCGACGGAAGATGCTGTTTCAGCATCGCCCAGATGTGGGGTTAGATGCACCCGAACATCGTCTTAAAGGTCCATTTTCAGGTTGCATGTGAATTTTCCCGGGTGTACCCCTCGAGGTGTTCACCTCAGCTCTACATTGGAAGAGATTCGTCCAAGGGTCCAAGACCATTCCAAGACCCCTCTTCCAGGGATCTTTGATTCTGAAAGCTCCGGCAAACCAGTTACACAATTTCAGCCAATCCTGTTCTTCCTACCAAAACGTCGTTGTGTTTTGAGTTTGTGTCAGTTTTAGCCGTTTTCTAAGAAGCTGGGACTGGGCTAAGCGGCACCTTCCGAAGGAGCTACGACTGGTACGGATCTGGTCCTCCCCCGGAACAACTCCTTCCGTTCGAAGGTCCGACCCTGAACGACCGGAGCTCCGACCGGCACCGATCGCAGGAGCTCGTGATCTTCGGAGGCATCGCCGAGGAGTCGGCGCTCCTCTCGGACGAGGGCGCGAGGTCCGGCAAACCACGGACCTCCCCGGACCCGCGCGAGGGACGGTCAGGCGGGTAAGAACCGGTGCGGAACATCGCGGGGAAGAACCACAAAGATGCAACACGGTACCACTTTTATATGGGTCCAGACGATCTTTGTTGATTACCTGTTGAGGAAAACTCATAGAAAGGACCATTATTCCATAATACGATAGTTGATGCACGCACAGCAATCATCGCAGCTTCGATCCAACTGAGCAAACTTTCTGACATACGTTGATCAATGTCACTGAACTTAAGACCACCCCCTGCTTACCTATTTAACATGGCTGGCAGACTATTTGTTCGAATCTTCTCAATTTTGCATAACCCATATCCAGTGTTCTTGCCACAGAAATAGCAAGGGCGAGTGATGTGGACCTTGAAACCACGGTGATGTACGGAATCTCCTGTCTCAGGGGACCAGTGCAGCCTCCCTTCGCGTCCGGGGACTGAGAAAGGTCCAGACCCAACTAGCAGATCCACAGTATGTTGTTCTGCGGATATGTTTTGTTGTTTCTTTAAATCAACTGTCATGATTTACTGTAAGCTGGTTAGATTTCATGTCCAAGAGATGAATGGAATGATGTTTTGTTCTCACCGCTATACAACCGAAGCGTTACTTTTAGGTCTGGGGAACATCCGTGTCATGCTTGTCATCTTGCCAACCTACAAACCACCAGTGAAAGCTACGATGTCTGGGTGTAACGACCATGAAATCGATGAGAGTGTTTCCTGCGGTTGAAACAGCCCGAACTGCGAATTCTAATCAGCTGGCAAGATTGCAGACTGGATTCCACAGAACTACTCCATGGGACGACTGGCATTGCCGATCAGTTGGGTCTGGTTTCAGAGATGATAAGGCAATATCATATATACCCTGCAAGTCCAAAGTGCAAGTTAAACTTTGAAAATTGCCTTTGATTTCCTTCCAAACCACCTGAAGAGATCATGAACACAATTTTTGGTTTTAACGGAACTTTAGTGGGACCAAGTAAAACTGGGTTCAAATAAAGTAAATAGTGGTCATTGTCTCCAATTCTATATGAACAAGTTTAACGAGGTCATTGACTTTGAGGGATATAAGTCCCATATCATGGGTCGTGCTTGGAGAATGCAACCATCAAAATAACATAGTAGAACACCATACTTCTGCAGCTTCACTATCACCGACCCTTTGGCCAACGTGTGTTGGGGAGACAGCGAGATCTCAGGAGGTCAACGTCGGGAAGTGTGGCGTTTGGGGCGAGAGACTAGACCTCCAGACACGACTAATGGGACTGCCATAGGACTGCCGATCAGGCCAGGGGTGGTTTTGAGGGTCAATGTAGGCATATATGGCATACATGGAGTGTCTGTTTTTTGTCACCCATACTGGCCCGTACTCATTGTTCTTGAAAGAAGTGCAGGATCCTGAAATCCTCCAGATTCCAGCGGATGTGCTGGCTCGGTGAAGACATGCATGTGAAGATCGACCGAACATGACGATGTGAAGAGTTCCGTGGAAGCTGATCAACATATCGCCCAGACACAGCTAATGGGACTGGCATATACCTATTGACCCCCTTTCAACCCCCCATATGTCTAGATATGCCAGTCCCATCGGTCGTGTTTGGGACCAGCGGGTTGGATCACCGCTGTGGCCAACGTTCGCTTCTTTCCGTGCACCGTCGAGCCCGTCACACACGCCGCTGCCACCCCAGCCGGCTCCAAATCGTTGCGGGCCACAGCCTTGCGTGACTTCACAAAGATGAACTTCCTGCGCCAGGCGGCTGAGACCGTAACGTTGAACGGACGAATCGAGCGCCCGTTCGGGACGAATCGGGTTCTATGGCGGGGTGCATGTCGGTTAGTGCCCATGTTGAACTCACTGGATGATGTCCGCCACTATTTTTGACCACTCCCTTTGCAATCGCAGCGGTTTTGATGTGTTTGTGACATTTGTTGAAGATCTGAGTCTTTGTGAACACATATTTATTGAACTGGTTTAGTCAAAATCACACAAGGATCCACACACACACAAACAAACATGTTCTTGAAGTAAAAAACGCAACATCAGCGTGCAGCATAAACCTGCTTCGAGGTTGTCTTATTGTGATCATGGTTGGTATGTAAAACCTGTTTGCCATGCAAGAACTCACCAGGGGTCCTTGTCCCAGGAAGGCTGATTGGCCATGGGGCGGGGTCAAGAATTGTGCCCTGATACTCTCCCTGGAACTAACATCATGGTTACGTGGAGTGAAAACAACTGTTTGGTATTGGATTGAACATGGTCTTCCGAAATCGGGCGATGCCAGCCACTTCTATGACGACGGTCTAGGGAGTGTACCCTATAGGGCTCCAACCATACTTGCGCGGACCTGCTCTAACTTTGACTTATAACCTAGGTTATAACCTACCCCAACCTGGTTATAACCTATAGGTTATAAGTCCCATATCTTATGTAAGTCACGTAGCTGACTTAGCTTTGACTTCTTAGTAAGAGGTATAAAGGTTACTAAGCACTTAGGCCGGGGCCTAGCCAACTTAGAAGAGTTAGCTTCGACTTAGGGCCGTTGGCTAAGTCGGTTAAGTCAAAGGTAAGTCGAAGCTAAGCTAAGTCGGCTAAGTCCGCTAAGTCGGCTAAGTCGGCTAAGTTTGGCCGTAGACTACTTTAAAAGGAAAATGTTGTCAGAAAAAATTCTGTGACCGTAGACTACTTTAAAAGGAAAAGGCTGTCAGAAAAAATTCTGACACTTTCTGACCGTAGACTACTTTATCACTCTCTTGCGGACGTGGCGCCGCGACTGTGGACACAGCTTAGCGATGTCGCACAGCAAGTAAGGCCTCCACATGCCTTCATCAAGGCCATGAGCGGGCGAGGTCGGACGAGAAAATCTCAGTGGGGATCTACGACAAAAGGCCAGCAAGGACAAGTGCACCCTGTCCGCCACCATCACCGGCCATGGCACTATACAGCCCGGTAAGGCCATTAGGATCCCGCTGGTTGGTCTGGAGACCCGAACACTCTTAAACGAACAATCAGCCGCCTGCAAAACAGCACCAAACAAAAGTCTGAAAGTAGAAACCTGAGCAGCAAGAGTCCTACCAAAAAGATCTCCAGCCTCAAGACCTGCAACAACCATCCATTGTTGAGAAGAACTATCAACACAAACAGGCAACGAAACCTTAGTGCATATAGAGAAACCAAGGAAAATCTCAACAAAGGACACCGGAGTAAGACACTCAGCCTGCAGGCTCAAGGAAACTAACCAAGACTGCAGCGCCTCCGCAAACCGAAGACCAAAGCGCTGCAAATACAAATTCTTCTGCAAAGCTGACCGGACATCAAGAGGCTGATCCTCTACAAAGCCCTGGTCGTTGACCAATGAGGTGCTAAAAACGAAACTTTCTGTACACGGCTCAGGTTGCGCACTCATCTCAGCAGCAAGGCCATGCTCCGCAAGGTCCAGCAAGAAGAGTTGGAACTGTCGACTCAAACGGCAATGCACGTCATGCGTCGCCATCATAGCATCATAAGCTGTCCGCAAGGAGCTTGGTAGTGCAGTCAAACGAGCAGCAGCCGCAGCCAGATCAACCACTGAGTTATGATGAATGCACCAAGCTTCAAAAGAAGAACCAGCATGTGCTATGTTCAAGTGCGAAGTCACCTTAGTCACTTGTGTCCAAGGCGCCTGTGGCAAACATTGGGCAACCCGTTCCCAAAGATCAGCATGAGCCCAACTCCAAGAGACCATATGCCCTGCAAGTAGTCGCTCAAGGCAACTGACGACAAATGCAGAATCGCTATAGATATGAATTGGCACCACATGAAAAGCAGCCCATAAAAGCGATTGCAGCACAGCATAAAGCTCAGCCCTTGCTATTCCCTGCCAGCGCCCAGGTTGAAGACCACCAGCAACAATCTGAGTGGTATTAGCAAGCTCGCATGCCCACGATGAAAGCTGACCAATGGGATGACTGGGCAACTGACATGAGCCATCGGTGAAGATGTGCTGTACACCACGTCCATTCGGTTCACATTGCCAAGTCACAGGAACAGCATTCAAGCGCTCAAGCTCATCATGAAATCTAGGAATCCATTCATTGGCAGGAGTCCAACCGTGATGAGACAACGCCACAGGTACATCTGACCACACATAGTCCAGCTGTCAACATGTCGCTCCCTGACGGATTGAAAGTGCGAGCACTCACAAGCACGGTGTTGCATGGTGTCCAATGACCGTGAACAAAACGGGCAGAGCTCAGAAAAGCCAGGGTCAAATCTTGCCTTGAAGGTGTGAAGGAAAAAGGTCCCATCACGAATGGTCGAAAGGAGTTCCCGCTGCGACACCGAGAGATTCTCAATGCCTTGGAAAGTAGCACAATAGTCCAAACTGGAAATTCCCGCAAAATCAAGCCGGTGAAAAACACCTCGAGCCACATACTGCTGCCAATCCTCAAGGAAAAGTACCAAGAGTTGAGATTGCGGCAACCAAGCAAGATCATAGCAAGGAAAAGGCTGTCAGAAAATAGTCTGACACTGACTGTCTGACTGTAAACTGTATTTTCAAGTGCCGCGAAAAATGACCTGTCGCTACGCGGCCTGGCCGCTGTCATTTCTAGTTGTTTGCTTTTCGCATTACTTGCTGCTCGGTTGTTCTTCGATCGTACTTAGCCAACCTATCACCTAGTCGACTTAGCCAACGTAGACTTAGCCGACTTAGCCGACTTAGACTTAGCTAAGTTAGCTAAGTCCGAGCTAAGTCACAGCTAAGTCAAAGCTAAGTCGAGCTAAGTCGCATGCCTAAGTCCGACTTGGCTCGGACTTAGCTAAGTCCTAGCTAAGACTTACTAACTCTTATAAGTCAAAGCTAGGCTTAGCCAAGCTTAGCTAAGCAGGGTCCGCGCAAGTGTATGCTCACCCAAGCCCACCCCAACCACCTTCTCAGGAGGTAGTTGGAACCCTAGATCCAGTTCATGACGATCGTTATTCTTGCTACCTTTCCCGGGAGGCCGTTGCGCTGGTGCTGACCGTCCGTTTGGTTGACAGGCCAACACTCAGTGTTGGTTGACGGGTGGTTCGCTTCAAAAGAATGGGTAGTTTTTAACGGAAGTTTAAATACAATCCCACATAGTGCTTGGGACCTTGGTGGGGTTAGGATGACATCGAATTAGTCCGATTTTGGACCAATGACCAGTTTGCACCCGTAGTTTGCCCAGGTTGTTAGCAGTTTTGACTATGTTTTGGGACCCGCTATCGTTAGCGCAGCGAAACCCATGGCTACCATTGGGCAATTTGATGCAATTTGTTTCATCTGCAACTCTTTGCCCTTCTTTCCATGGTCCATCGAGTGTTGTTCTTGAAAGAAACGCGAAAGAAATGAAGTGATCCTTTTCGACGACGTGCCACGCACAACTTCAAAGGACATATCGACAGCTTTTGTGTTAGATCCGATTCAGCTGGGCGGGGATTGGGGAGTCCGACCAGAGTGGACAATCTTCTTCGGAAGATCTGTGAAAATCAATGAACTGCCCAGAGAGATCAACCTTCCATGTTTTTGTTTAGTGATGTTAAGTGTTTTTGAGTTGTTTCATTTTGAAGTGTACAAACCACACTTGCACAGGGGTATCCTTGTTTCGGTTAGACCCACACCCACATCATACTGTCAGTCGCGCCCAAACCGCCCGGCCACGTGACTCCTCCGCGCAGTCAAGACTTCCTGGCGCCGCTGGCGCCCGCGGAGGGCTGGGGAGAGCCCGGAAGCACCGTGGTGCACCACGTCTATCACGTGGAGCACACGCCCTCTTGGGTGCACACGCCAACTGTGGTGCATGTGCCTGGGCGTGAATTTTTTTCGCAAACAAAACGGTTTTGCACATTGCCATGCCCTAGGGATCCACTACCACCTCCTCAGGTTCGGTACGACTGGGCCTTCAAAGCCTACTTAAATAGTCTCCGTCCTCACCGTACCTGAGAAGGTACTTGGATCCCTAGGGATGGCCATATCCCATGTATTTCTCATGGGTGATATGCACAGAATGTTGCTTGGGTTGTTCCCCGTGTTCCTGGTTCTTCGAAAGGTTGGTCCCCCCGTAGTATCCAAGACCTGGAAAACCGTGAGAAAGAGCCTATCAACATGTTCAAAGAACCAATGAAAAGCCCAAAGTGTTGTTTTTTTCTTGATATTCTTCCACAATCCAAGGTGCCTGGAGTGTCCGGATCCTCCTTCGATTCATCCACCTTCGACAGCTTGTCAGGGGCACCCACCTTCCCCGAGAGCTTCTCGGGGTCCACCTTCGCTCACGGCTTGTCGGGGGCTTCGGCCTTTCCTGACTTGGCGGGATCGCCCAGCTACGCCGACAGCTTCTCGGGGTCGGGCTTGTCTTACGTGCCGTCCCAAAGCACGGCCGATGCGGTGGCGACGCACGGAGCGGGAGAGACTCCTGAAGAGACGTCGGAGCGCATCCACAAGCACCTGGGATACGAACAGGAGAGTGGAAAAGGATAGAAAAGGGAAGGAGATGTGACGGCACCTGGGGTGATTTTGCAGCACTTTGTTTGGTGACAGCGTGTACTACACCGGGAATTCTTGAAGCAGGGCAGGTCCACCACTTTCTAGTTTTGTACATGTTATCATGTCACCCTGCAGAACCCCTTTAAGGGACCCCTTTGGACGTCCGTTAGGGTCCGTGGGGGGTGGTCGAATGCTCTTCGTCGAAGCTCGAACACCTGCCGGGGGGTTCAGGCGGTTTCTGGGGCGAGAAGATCGAACGTCTCACTGTGGAAGCTTTTGGGGCAGTAGCCTCCGTATCCCGGTTACATGAGGTTACATGTCTTTGTCCAACATGAGGGGGCAAGTATTTCAATAACACGACGTCGATGGTGCCAATGCTGGACAACAGATTCTGATGGCTCCAGTCCTGGAAACCACACAAGTCTTAAGAGGTGTTACATGGCTTTACATGGTTTTAAACAGTCCTGAACTTGGTTTTACATGGTTTTACCAAGTTCACAGAGCCATCAGCTACTTGCGCCCAAAACATTTTGGGAGACGTATATATACAATATGTTTTTTTTGTATCTCTTCAAGGCCCAGCTGATCGATCATGAATGAATCATGATTTCATGTCTGTCTTGTTCCCAGACACTCCATGGGACTGCCATATATGCCGCCCCATCGACCCCCCAAACCACCCCAACTGATCGGCAAATATGGAATACATGGAGTGTTTGGGATTTGGTTCCTTTTGTTTACAACCAAGATTTAGCCAGATGACATGTCCTTTCCATATGTCCCTTGCAACTGGCTGGTCCAGCTGGTGCATGTGTGAACAAAAACATACCCGCTGTCAATTCCCGTCACATTGAGATGCATGTGTTTGTTGCCTGCATTAAATAATAGTACATATATGGATAATTTATATATAATATATATGCATGCTTTGGTCTTGATATACCTTGATGTCTTCTTCATTTTGTGGGGCCAGGCACTTTGTTCTTTGTCCACATCTCTCCACCCCGGTCCACCCCTCGACACTCCCAGGATGGTGGAGCGAATGTCCAAGTACGTGGCCTCCAAGTCTCCCGATCCAGCCACCGTGCAGATGGCACAGCGTATGGAGCTCTCGGCCAGGACCGCCGTATGGAGCTCTACGACCCACAACAGTCGGACGCAAAACAAAACCCCCCCCCTCCGCTCCCTTTCTGTGTGTGTGTGTTTTTTGTGTTCAGTTGTCACTTCATTGTCGATATTCTCGTGTGACTTTGGACCAAAAAAGATCAAAAAGAGTTCGTAAGGATTGGCCAGGTTTGCCACATGTTTTTGGAAAATCAACATGGATGAAGATGCTGGTCGAGGCTTTGGCTAAGTCCATGGTTTCTGCATCGTTTTGCAATACTTGGCGCATTCATTTTTTTGAGCAAGGTAAGGACACCTCAGCTCTCAAGGACACCAGCAAGGTAAGGATAGGCCTTATCAAGGCTTAATATAGGCTTATTTTCCAAGGGGGCTTGCCTATGACACCGCACCTGTGCACAAATTATATCTTTGGGCAAATGGTCAGTGCCTTTTTCCATGTGTTTTTATGCATGTTGGAAGACATCTCAATCATGCCCTTCCTCCCGGGTGTACCAAGTACTGTACTTAAGTATAAACAAAGTATACATTAAAACCACGCAGTCTTTGCACACACACCGACCTGCAATGTTTCTGCGCTCTCCCTGAAACTCCTTGATTGAGCTAATCTTGGGCTTATTTTTTTCAGTGGGGGATACAAGCCTTAATACGCTTTAATGAGGCTTAGTAAAAGATGCGTTTGCATCGTGTTTCTGTTTTTCTTTTTTTTGCCGGTGTGTGTGTGTGTGCTTGCGTTCCATCTCAAACGCGTGTCACGTTTTGGGGCGGCAATGGGTCATCGCGGTCGGTGTTTTGCTTATATAAAGAAAGAAAGAGGTCGGTCAGTCCGTGGAAAGACGTTTAAAGGATTTGTCCCTTCCTGACTGTTTCTGTTTGGATCCTTATTCCAAGTATTGCTATGGGTGTCCATCCTTAAATTGTAGACCATGGACCATAGATCATAGATCTATCGACCCTGCAGGATGGGAAGCGGTATCCTTTTTTCTAATAGGTACCTCAGGGGTGAATGACGTGACATTAAAGGCAGAAAAGTCCGACGCAAAAATACTGAAAGAGGGACTTGCTCTTGAAAGTGCATTTGCTGAAAGGACATTATTGATAAGCTGCTGGAGATTCATTTTCTCAAAGTATGGACAGTATAGTAGGTTATTTTTTTGTGTGTTGGAACAGTTGTGTTTGTTTGATAGATGTTGGATGTCGTGTTGTTTACGTTTGCCGCCATATTGCGGCCACTCTAGTTCTTAGGCGTTTGAACTATGTTGTCCGCGTTTGTGTTAAGCGATGGTGCAAAGACGAACCAATATTTTCATGATGGATGCATTTGCAGGTGGTGTCCTATTATGAATATGTTAAGTTCATTTCAAGACTATAGAAGGATTGTTATGACCAGGATCCGGTCATCCGGATGACCGACCCCACATGTTTTTTCGGTTTTCGTCTCCAAGAAGTCATTGGTCTACCTGACCTGACCACGGACCGATGTTTTTTTGACGTCGTGACGCCAGGAACGGCATGTTGAGAGAAGAGGGCTATGAGACTTGGACGCAGAACGGACCCAACGGACGGATGGTCCACACGGTCCACGCGACAGACGATTCCGAACCTTCCAGGAGGTCGGAACACTTGGGAGATCTGTTGATACCCATCCCATCCCATCCCTATACAACCTGGTTCTTTTGACGAAGAAAGACTACATGTACCACGCTTGGAGTGTTTTGCCCTCACTTGTGACAAACAAGTTGAATTACATCTTCGGAGAATCGCAAAAATGACATATATAGAAGAATTTCAATGAAACTTACAACAATATAATCATGTTCATGCCCACATTGGGATGCTTTGCGGGATTCTTATTCTACACGGCAAGAAGAAGCCCAGTCCCAGTTCCAGTCCTGCATTCTCAGGCCCTCTGCAAAAAAGGGACCCAATCGAACGGTCCGAACCAAAACCACCGGTCAGTCCGAGTCCGCTCCGACACTCCGGACGACCGACGGGTCGGCGAAGAGGGGTCGGTTTCGGACGAACAGAAAGCAGCTGAATCATCATGAATGTTACTAGTAGTAACAAGTGCCACGCTACTAGGAACAAGTGCCTTACTAGTAGTAACAAAAAGCTATGAGAAACAATAAGCTAATAGCTTCTTGTTACTACTAGTAAGGCACTTGTTCCTAGTAGCGTGGCACTTGTTACTGCTAGCGTGGCACCTGTTACTACTAGTAAGGCACTTGTTTCTAGTAGCGATGCACTTGTTACTAGTAGCTTCCTATGAATGTGCATGATCCATTTGTACTATAAAGAAATACATAACATTATGGAGTAGCCCCTGAAAGAGGGATCAGAGTATCCCTACCAAGTCATGGCCTTATGACATTATCATCCTGTGTCTCCTACCACCGGACCCTCGTCCATTCCCCTCGGACCCGTACCGAACTTCCTCGCTTACTGCTTCGCACGGCACTCCAGGACAACATTGCCACGATTTTGTCGAAGGCATCCATGTTGATCCTCGGATGATGTGGACCAGAATTTGGGTCGAAGTATGATGTGGATGACGATGAGCCGCGCTTTGGACATCTGTGGGTTACACCAATGGTATCATGATGTATCATTGGTTTGGTTTGGGTGTTTTCAACATCTACATGTTGAACGACTTTTGTTGGACATCCACTGGATGGTAGCAACTTGCCCTACCGGAAAATAAAAATGGGTTCGGCGGATGACGAGACATTTCAACAGGTGTAGCAGACATTGGGTGGATCCAAAGTGCTACATCCGACAAGTCCGGATCCATCAAGGCCACCATGCAGTGGAGCAGGGCTCTGGAAATGACTTACCCAGGGATCCGGTTGTACCGCACGGAAGAAGGTGCTTGGAGACACTGTTAGGTATACGGTTAGTTCAAGTACCTTCTGGGACCGTACTTGGATCCCTTTACGGATTAGTTTTCATTCACTACCATGCTTTGCGAGGGATCCCTTCTACATCCAAGGTGACTGACATTCCGATCAATGGGATGATCCGTCGGTTTTCACACGTTTTCACTGAATGCTTAGAATTAGTTCTTTCGATTCGGAGACTTATGATTATCACTCCTTCACTCCTTCACTCACATTCATTCGACTTCGTTGCGGCCGGAGCCGGAGCCGGAGCCGGTCGGAGCCGGAGCCGACGCGGTGAATCGAAGGGACGGAGCCCCCCGGCCTTGGTGACGCGCACGAAGTCGATCGTCTTCTCCGACCGGTTCGCCCAAAAACACCGTGGCACCGTACTCGTTATCACGAAAGTTTGCCTTGGGGAGGTACCCTTTGTTGGTTGAGGATCTGTTGATGCCTTCGGTAGATCGGTAGGTAGGTGTTTTGGTGATTGACGTATTTGGCTTTGGAGGCTGTATCGGAGCCAAAACTGTTTACTTGCCTCCCAGCCCCTATTGGTGTGGAGCAAGGGTTGTAAGAGTTCTTCACTCTTCAAATTCCGGTGTCACTTTTGCAGGCTCGGGTGCTAGCAGCTATAGCATCCTTAAGTGGGTGGGTCTCATAGAAGAACATGATCTCCAAACAAGTTGTGCACGTAACTAATGCAGCAAGGCAATTGGTGCTGGTAGATGAGCGATAATATTGCGGAAGCTCTCTTTTCAGCCAAGGCCATATTCTAACAAACGCTTGTAAATTCTCTTCTCGCAAACCGTGATTGTTCAAGAGGAGTAGGAAGATCCAGGTAGTCTGTTTGCCGATATTTGCCGATTCTTCCTTTCAGCATGAGCACAATGTGAACCTTAGACAACCCCTTGCAACAAGCTTGTTGCCGCCCTACCATACCATACCTATTTGTCGATGAATCAGTCTCTCTCCTTGCACATGATTGAAGATTGTGAGACATGTGCATGTTGAATGGATCCGGGCATATCTAATTGATTCTAATTGTGTCACGCTTTGTGTATGCCAGGATCAGCACCCACACGACAACACCAGTTTTGGGTCGCGCACCAATTCCGGGCGCCCGTTTGGCGCTTGGTGCGACGGCGACTTCCGTCTTCGTTCAGCCCTCCCTCCGGTCCGGTCCAGCGCTGCAGAGGTCGTCACCAAGTGCTCCGGTGTTCGAGACGGCGGCCACAAAGGGTTTTTTGGCCACGCGGGAGGATTTGGATTGGCTGCTCAAGTGCCTCGGAGAAGGACGTGGTGCCTATAAACGACGACGGTTCACCGGTCGACGTTCGGAAAGACTGAAGCAGAGGAGCGCGTGTTGGTCGTCGTCGTCTTCGGACGCGTCTCGTCCTGACCGAGTCTCCAAGGGACAAGACTCGGGGTACACCTGTGTGATTCACTCCCTACCGGCCAATGACTTCGGAGTTGGTCATTCTGAATTAAGGAAAAAAGGACATAATAGGTTTACTGGGTCAGACTGGACGAACGTTTAGGAACTGTTTGGTCACAGCCAATGTCACGGTCACCTGACCATTTGGGTCGACCATCCTCCGGCGCCGGTCTCCAAGGGGTGTCGGTCCATGCGGAAGGATGGAGTGATCATGACCATTTGTGACCCGCAAGTGACCCCTGTTTGGCAAGCTGTCGGAGCAAATTCTGAAAGTTGTTTTTGGCCATGGCTTGGAAGACATGGCATGGAAGTGACAATGGATCGCTCAAAACCGTTATATATATAATGTGTATATTGATTTATTATTGTTATTTTTTTTGCGTAAGGTTGCATTCTACTATATGTTCAAAGGAAGTCCTGCGCCACCGGAGATGAGGAAAAGCAGGGCGTTTTTGGATCCACGGTGTTTTCGCGAGGTATAGTAATCATATTTCGATGTTCTTTCTTTGGATGCTTAAAGGCCTATGCCTATAGATTGCAATCCCTTAAAATAAGTTAAGGAGTGCTTCATGTCAGATGTGCTTTTCCCCATTCTTCCCCTTCCAAGCATCCTCAGGTCTAGTTAAAAGACACCTCAACAAAAACAACTGCATGGCTCACTCAGTGCAGGTCGTGAATCTACCAATCTCCCCTCCTGCCAGGACCATCCAATTCATGGATGGTCCGGCTGGACCACCCAGCCCACTCCTTAGGGATCTCCAGCCACCCACCCAGACAGCGTTTGGTCGACCATAGGCAGGTCGACCCCTTTCCCGTCCCGAACCTCACCGACGCGTGTTGCCCAGTCACTGCGGTGAAGCGGCGGTGGCTGGGGAGAAGAACATGGAAGAGACCACCGCAGGTGCGGTGTGGCGTGGCACGTGTGCGGAGTGGCACGTGTGCGGAGTGGCACGTGTGCGGAGTGGCACGTGTGGTGGCACAGGCGGGTTGTGGACAGACGTGTCATTGGATCGAGGCGGTGGAAGATCACGTCGTCCGGTACTGGTGAGATGTTTTTGGCCGGATTTGGGTGGATGAAAGGACTATGAAAGGACTATATTCATTAGATGCCCAACAAGCAGACTCCAGTTGCCGGCCAAATATATTATATAGGTGTTTTTAATGATATAATATACACCAAATTTGAGGTAATTAGATGTGCACTGGGGTTTTCTTCCCCTAAGTCAAAGTCTACTAGACCTTAGCCGATCCACAGAGGGACGATTCCGGTGGACAATGACCTTCGATGCTTTGGTTCTCCACCGACCTTCTCGTGCCACAGCAACAAGGCTCCGAGGAGCCAGGGTTTCCAATATATCCCAGAGCCATGACCAAACAGCATGTCATCAGACTTTCCCGGATATCCTATGAAGTCCGGACTCCATGTTGCACGCCATGTTGCGTGTTTCAACCCCTTCAATGGAATCCAACCACTCCGGCTTAGCACGTCTCGTCACTGTAGTCTTCTCGCCCCGAAAAGACGCAGACCACCGTCGCCGTCCGCATGGATTTCCGCGTTCCTCGCAGGAGGCGACACGCCCTGTCCCGCCGGCCAAGCGTGTAGTCCGACGAAGAGCTACGGTGCTGGCACGCCTTGGACCAATTCCGAGGCGGAGCGTTGTGGGAGTTTCCAAATGCGGCACGGGGAGGTGGGTGTGTTGAGATGATATGGGATGTTCAACTAGAATCATGTGGGTTTGTATACTCTTCCATCCCATTTGATTGATTCCTAAAACATCCTAAAATCTAAAACGAGGCTGGTTTCGCTAGAAGCCCAACTTGCACATACTTGCACCTCAAATTGTTGACCTTCACCTCATCAACATGTTTCTAGAACCGGGGAAAACATCACCGACTTCAACCATTGAAGTTTCGAGCATGTGAATCCCATCTGCCAGCCTCCAAGTCACCTACATATTTATGTTTCACTCGCAGTATGTGGAAGTGACCCAAATGCGGCCCACCCGGATGCACATCTCCCGAGTCGACCGGATCTCCGCGATCGCGCCGAAGCCGCGATCGCGCGATCGCCGCTGCAGGTGAAGTACTGCTTCGATGTGCAGCTGGCGCCTAGCGCCAAGAGTGCCGTCGAGTGCGCCATTACGACGCTCGGCCGAGACGTCGGAAGATCGTGAAATGCACAGGAAAAGGTACAGTGACAGATCTCATCAGATGTCAACGTTTTTCAGGGATAGAGTACAACAGTTCTTGATACTGCATGTATGTAATTTTATGTATATTCAGAGCATAAATGAGACAAACTAATACTCAATAGTCATGTGCAGTTGGCAACCCCACTGGCTCGGTTGTCAATTCTGTCTTCAACGTTCGACACCGAGCCAGTTGTCTCCGCACTCGCTGGTGCCGGTGAGTCGTGTTCGATGAGAATGAGGTTCGCGTCTGGACTTGTGTCGTTTCTAATGACTCTGGAAACACATCGAACCGTACATATCAGCACCCTCCAACAGGTGCTTCGTGGTGACAACAGGTGCCTATAGAGACCCACTTGTTAAAATCTCCAAAATCGCTTGTTGGAGGGTCCTGGTATGTACAGATAGACTGATAGTTCCAGAATTATAGTTCCAAGTCGTCCGCTAGATATGCATGTCTACTTCACCACACCTTGATTCACGCTGTGCTATCGGTCCAGGACTACAGGACCGACCACTGGAGTGAGTTGATAAGGTAAATCATTTGCAGGAATGGAAGAAACATGAAGACAACAATTGCAGGCATGAAAAACATCACGAGGTACATAATGACATATCATTTTGCTTGGTATTCCCGAGAACTCGATGGTCAACACGGGATTTCTCCCACAGCAAGTCAAAGCCGAGGCCCTGTGCCTGAAACTATGTCATAGATTCCCAACTGTAACCGCTTCATGTTGATGATTGTTGATGGTAGCACTGATGAACATGTGACAATCTGGCCGAACAGAGATGCAAGGCTCGGTCCAGACGAACAGCACAGAGGCATCCGAGACCCATGAGAACAGGGAAGAACAGCGACAGATCACGAGACCCATGTTTCGGAGTTCAAACAAACCGAGCCTTGATCATCTGCCCCTAACCATCATTGGACCCTCTGAACTGGACATTGGACCCCTCTGAACTGGAGGGCTTTGACCCTGCAGAACGCAGGGGTTTGGACCCAAGCCAAACCCTCACAAACCAGGAAACTCCCCCGGCGTGCAAACCACTCGGCCAACAAAAAGAAGCCCTGTGGCCCAGGAAGATCAGGCAAGCCGTGCCTGGTATTACCTTTACGAATGTCGGGCAGCGAGGTCCCTTGTCGGATTGAGTGGGACATGCCATCATCCGGGGATCTTGTCGGAACTGGTCGGAATAAGCCCTCGGACATCCATAGATGACTCAGGGACACCCCAAACGTTTGAAGGAAGGAACGTTTTGAACACCCTATTTCATCCATAAGGACAAGGATCCACAAAGTTTCACTGAAGCCAGTGATCGCATGACTGTTCAGGTGTGGCCTGATATTTGCAAAGCACACTAGACCTGTGCAGTCAGTCCGCGTGTTTTCTTGGTTTGATTCCCCTCACACTGGTACGTGCAAACTGACTTTAGACTTAGCTTCGGACAACCGAGTTCAGCATCCAACGTGCGCGACTTTCGCATCCTAGGCTCTGGAAGCTGCAATTCAAGGCCTGCGATCTTCGTCCAGTCCCAGAACTCTGGGTGCTGGGCTAATATCGGCACCTGGGCCGCGAGCACGGACATGTGAATATGGAGTGCATGTGAATCCGCTGGCTTCCCTTGGCTAAAGTTGCTAAAGGATGCTAAAGGTGTCGTTGAAAGTGAAAGAACTTTGAATTCCTATTACTGTAGACGACTATTGTATACATTATCATATATCATCCTCAGATCGCCCTTTTTTTGGTAGCAACATCTCCGGCTCCACACCGGCTCCACTCCGGGTCCCGGTTGGTGGCTCCCAAGGCATGACGGGCAGCTTTTCAGGCTTCTTCACCGGGAACCAGCCGGGAGACCGAAGGGGTGACCGGAGGGCTCGGTGGGACCGGAGCGGTGGTTGATTTGAGAGATGGCACATGGGGGGTGTTTGAATGACCAGAATGCCGAATGCCAAAATGGTCCAGTTCCAGAAGTCTGAAAAGGCTTTCTGTTTGTCTTGTGTTCTTGTTTGGGGGGCCTGACTTGGCTTTGACATGGCGAAGGAGAAGGTCCAGAGTGCAAGAAACCCCCAGCTCACAAAAGGAGCTCAACAAAAAGTGTGTGTGTGTGTGTTAATATGCGTGTGTGTGTGTGTGTGTTTGTTTTTGCTGGGAGGCTAGGCTAGGAGTCTAAAGACGGTCTTCTCTTTGTTTCCATCGGTGAATCCGTCGGACTCATGAATGAATTCACCAACATCCGACACCGACATCGCTGCCGGAAGTCCGAAGTGGATTGTTTGGGTGATGTTTCCTTAGCGAACTCGAAGGATGAACTGAATATGTTATTCACTCTGCAGGTGACAAACACACTTCGCAGGTGACAGGTGTGATGGCAGCATGATGGCAACTCAGATGGCCCCATGGTATGGAGGATATGTTTTTTGATGTGATTTCCTTCGCGACTTCATGGTGGAGTTCAACTCCACCATGAGTTTCAGGGCTTTAGATCTCTACCACCACTAAGAAATGATTCTTCATTGGTGTTAATTGTTGCATTCTGTTGCATCAGTATAGGTGCTACTATTCACCAGGGTACTCTTTGATGATGACAAATGCCAACATAGCGATGTATCGGTGGGGCGCGTGCCACGTGGAGCCCGCGGAGCCCGAGGCAGTTGAATTTGCAGACGCCGGGCTGCAACGACTGTGGCACAGCCATCCATGAGATGCTGCACAGCATGGGCTGCTTGGTGCCAGGGTTTTGATTGGGTGAAACTGGCTGAGAAAGCAGAGAGTGGTCGTGTGCACAAGGCCTAGATAGGCCTAGATTATAGAGGTATCCTTCCAGAAAATGAAGACTTGGAAGTGGAGCACTGGACTATACTGGACTCCTAAAGAACCATACTTGGTTCCATTTCGGAATGTGGCTTTGCACGGGTATTTGTATTGCTTGTGCCATGTTCATTAACTGAGTCAAAACATGTAAAAAACTCAAAACGGTGTGCTTTCTCAAAACGCCGTGACTTGTTTTGACTCGTCGTGACTTGTTTTGATTCTTTTCAGGTTTTACGACCGCCCAGGAAAAGCTGTCGAAGCTTGAAAGCCCACCCAGATCAGGAGAGAACCCACGACCGAGACCAAGAGGTGTTTATCAAAAGTTTCGGTTTTTCGGTGAGTCGGGGACACTCCCAAAACACTTGGTGGTCCCGGACCTTAAAACCAGAATTGGTTGAGGGAATGGATGAACCTGGTTGAAAAGCAATTGGTTGAAAACCGGTTGAAAACCAGTATGGTCCCGGACTTGGTTGAGGGAATGGGCGAACCTCCATGTTTCTTCAGTCATGGTGGACAGTTGGGTGCAGCGAGTTGGTCTGAGCCCCTCTTTCTTCACATCGGACAGCCGAGGGACTCGTGCCGACTCGACGACTCGAACGGACGGGACGAGCGCCGGAGGGAATGAGAGGCAAGCGACTCAACTTGTTTCACAACGAAAGCGACTAGATGGTTGAGAAGTGTTTTTCTTTGGAGCAACACTCGGAACCTTGTGTCACCTTTGTTTGTCAATGTCCGTTTTTTCCTGGCAACCATTTAATTGTTGCAGATGGGACTCGTACTGCATGCCCTCCATGCAACTGGTGTGGAAATCACACTTATGCCCCGGTGTAGAACATCCAGACGTTCTCATCTTGTTTCCCATGTCTCATGCACTTCCAACTCTCCACTGCCTTCCGTTCACGGCAGCTGCTCGACGTCCCGGATGGGTCCCGAGGCATGGCGCATGAGCAGAGTCGACCGGATCGAGATAACTATGTGACGATCAACTGGCAGAACATCCAGAGCAATATGCATAGCCACTAGGAATGGAGGTGGGAAGTGTGGCGGGGGTGGGGGTGGGGGAGAAAGGTGGGGCAGGATGTGCCAGTGGAGGTTTTGGAACTGATGTTTGAGATATGTTTGAGCTAACTGACTTTAGTTGGCTTGGACTCCGGGAACTGCAGACTTGGCGTGCTCCAGGCATCCTCAGACAATTTGCCCATATGAACATTGGATGAGGTTTGCATAGACTACTTATGAACTGATGATCCCCCTACCTGTGATTTTTGTTGTTCATCTTCATTCATTTTATGTTTGTTCTTGCTGTGTCAGTGGCAAGCCGCAAGTGTTCAGATGAGTGCTTGTCTTTTGATCAGATGTTGGCAACACAACTACATGAACCAGTTGGTTGGCTCTTAGAAGTTGGAAAACAGACACTGTACGTACTTCCAGGACGGATTGTGCCTCCATAAGAAGTGGAAGAGAACTCGTAGTTCGGTGTCTGTGACAGATGAACGAAAGGGGACGTCAAGTGGACCAATGAGATCCAAAGTGCAGGAGTCAGGAATGTTTCTGCTCGAGACAGGAGTGCAGGAGTTTGCACTGCAGGAAGTACCACTGAGGTGAGTAGGTCTTCCTGCACTGGGCGCTGGGTACCAATGATTTCCTAAGGAGGTTGAACAGCCCTATAGCTTATCCCATATGTACCACTCACTATCCAGGGTTCCAGTTCCCTCAACCTCTCAACCGCTTTCTTCCCGGACTAAACACCCCAAACGACCGTCCGCCGACTGCTTCGGGTGGGGACGACGAGCAAACTGGTCAATTGTCCAGTTCCATGTTAGTATTAGTTAGTATATGTATTTTTCAAGAAAGGGCAGCAAACTCAGCAATCCTAACCATAATAATAATCATCATCATCATCATCATCATCATCAGCATCATCATCATCATCATCATCATCATCATCATCATCATCATCATCA